TAGCCCACTCCACTTTTACGATTCAACATTTTTCTAGTTGCTCTCTCCAATTAATTGACATTTTAAACAGAGAATATTTCCAAACAATGTCCTTAGATTATACCTAAATTTATATTTACTAGGGGAATCAAAAGGACTTTAGGTTATAAAAATATAGACTAGTGAAGGCCAAGAAAGAGGAATAAGATTGCTTTACAATTACCAAAAATGGTCTAGGTTTTGTAGTGAGAATGGTTATTCTACACTTGAAACTAGGAAACGTTTGAGATATGATATCCCCTATTTTTTTGGTCTAAAGAGATCTAAACCCTCTGACTTCTTAGTTGAAAACCAAGGGTCAAACCATTCAAGCTTTAAGATAATGTTATCATGTTATCACAGGCCAGGGAGTATGAGCATAACCATCATGGAAGATACTAGGATTTGAAATTTTTGACAAATGTACAAGAAATCATGCTGTCATTCTGCCTAATGGAGTCCCACATGACAACCTAAAAGACACCATACAAAGTTGACATCAACTGTTCACTAGCACTAATCCTTCACTTTACAGAGCAAATTCCTATATAGATTGATGGACCCAGGATATCCAAATGGTATTCGCGTAAGACAGGAAATGGGAGGAAAGGGCAAAAGGGGTAAAGCATATGGGGACAGGTGTCTTATTAGTTATTAGAATCCTGGTATTAGAATAAAAGGGAGGGATAGCAGGGGCAAGGGATATCTTTTTCTTTTGTGAATGAATTGAGTCTGGGAGGTGTTGGTCCTCGAAAACCAGCTAGCGATACCGTTTTATTCCAAAGCTGAATGTCATCTTCTCCATTTTTTTCTTATTAATCAAGTCTAAATATATTACTCTCTTAGATATTGTTGTTTGTTAGGTTGCTTCTTGTATTTGTTTATATTTTGAGAAGCATATTATTGTGTTGAGTTACGGCTATTTAGTGTGATTGGCATAGTGTTTTAGTTGAAATAGTGGGATTCCATCAAATTGGTATTAGAGCTCGCAGATTATTTGGGGTATGGTTGATACTAGAATGGATAAAAGAGTTAACAGTGTTGAGAAGGATATAACGGTGGTTCAAAGAGACGGTTGTTGTTTCATTTTCTATTTTTTCTTCACTTTCAATAGTACAACCTAACTAAATATATACACACACTCAACAATTACATATATATCCTTTACACTACATATACATAGTTTCCAACACTCCCCCTCAAGCTGGAGCATATATATCTATCATGCTCAGCTTGTTATAAATATAGGTTACCTTTTTACCAACGAGAGACTTCATGAAGATGTCAGCTAGTTGTTCCCCTGTTCTAACATGATTAGTAGCAATTAGCTTTTGTTCAAGTTTCTCTCGTACAAAGTGACAATCCACTTCTATATGCTTAGTCCTGTCATGAAAGACTGGATTGTTTGCTATATGCATGGCTGCTTGGTTGTCACACCATAAGTCCATGGTCCTTGGGTCATCAAGCCTAATTTCTCTAAGAAGATGTCTTGTCCATATAAGCTCACACATAACTTGTGTCATAGCTCGATACTAAGACTCTACGCTTGACCTAGCTACAACTGATTGCTTATTACTTTTCCAAGAAATAACATTTGCTCTAACAAAAACACAAAACCCAGTCACAAATCGTCTATCCACAAAGGATCCTGCCTAATCTGCATCTAAGAAACCTTCTCTCTTATTATGACCATGATCACTATAAAGAATCCCACGTCCAAGGGCTCTTTTTAGATACTTCAAAATATGGAGGATCGTATCCTAATGGGATGTCCTATGAGATGACATAAATTGACTCACCACACTCACTGAAAAAGCAATATCTAGACGAGTTACTATAAGGTAGTTTAACTTTCCAAC